ATCATTAGTCAATAGGAAAAGGTAAATTACAAACCACAAAATGAGATATCGCTTCACACTCAGTTTTAATGTTTAAAAAATGAAAAAATAACACATAGTATAAAGTGTTGCAAGGCTGTGGGAAAAGCAGAACCCTCCAACGTTGCTGGCTGGTATTTAAAATAGTGCAGCTGCTTTGGAAAACTGTTTGCTGGTTTCTCAAAGCTGGAACACATAGCTACCATGTGACCCAGCAATTCCTCTCCTGGTTATATGCCCAAAAGAAATGACAACCTATGTCCACACAAAACTTGTACATGAATGCTCATAGCAGCATTATTCGAAATAGCCAGAAATTGGAAACTAAATGTCCACCAACTGATGCATGGATAAACAAAGTTTGGCATAGCCATAGACTGGAATATTATTTAGCCATTACAAAAAGAATAAAAAATATCTTCACCGATGAAAACATCCTGCAACCTGAATGAGCCGTGAAAACACTATGCTAAATGAAAGAATCCAGTCATAATAGATCACGTATTTTAAGATTCTGTTTATGTAAAATGTCCAGAATAGGCAAAATGACATAGACAGCAAATAGATTAATAGTGCCCTGGGGCTAGGGTGGGGGTGGGGTGCCTGAGAGTCAGAATGAGGTGTGACCACTGATGTGAATGAAGTTTCTTTTTTTCTATCAAAAGCATTTTGTTAACATAAAATCATATATTTTTATTTTTTAATATATTTTTAGTACCAATGGTTGCATACCATACATTTTTCCTGCACTTTGACTTTTTTCAATTAACATCATATTTTGAAGGTTCTTCAGCTATGTATAGAGCTTCTTCATTCTCTTTTAAACATGCATAACATTTTGTTTGTAAATTTTTCATAATTTCAATAGCTAGCCCTACATTGGTGGACAATTAGGTTGCTTGCAGTCCTTTGGTTTTAGAAACAGGTAGCAATTTTAAGGTGGAATTTTTAATTTCTAAACAATTGTTTTATTGAGGTCATATTGGTTATTACATTGTGTAATTTCAGATGCACATCATTAGTTTTCATTTCCTGTGTAGACTGCTTCACGCTCACCACCAATAGTCTAGTTTTTATCCATCACTGTACATATGTGCTCCTTTACCCTTTTTGTCCATCCTCCATCCCCTTCTCCTCTGGTAACCACTAATCTTTTCTCTTTGTCCATGTGTTTGTTTATCTTCCACATATGAGTGAACTCATGCAGTGTTTGTCTTTCTCTGTCTGCCTTATTTTGCTTAAGATAATACCCTCAGGTTCTATTCATGTTGTTGCAAATGGGATGGTTTTGTCTTCTTTATGGCTGAGTAGTATTCCATTGTATATATATACTACATCTTCTTTACCTATTCATTAGTTAATGGGCACTTGGGTTGCTTCCATGTCTTGGCTGTTGTGAATAATGCTGCAGTGAACAGAGGGGTGTGTAAATCTCTTTGAATTGTTGGTTTCATGTTCTTTAGATACATACCCAGTAGTGGGATAGCTGGATCATATGGTGTTTCTATTTTTACATTTTTGAGGAATCTCCATATTGTTTTCCATAGTGGCTGCACAATTTGCATTCCCACCAGCAGTGTAGGAGGGTTACCTTTTCTCCACACCCTCTCCAACATTTGTTCTTTTCAGTCTTAGTGATTATAGCCATTTTAACAGGTGTAAGGTGGTATCTTAGGGTAGTTTTGATTTGCATTTCCCTAATAATTACTGATATTGAACATCTTTTCACATGTCTCTTGGCCATCTGTATATCTTGTTTGGAAAAATGTCTGTCCACATCCTCTGCCCGTTGTTTGATCTGGTTGTCTCTTGTCTTGTTGTTGAGTTGCTTGAGTGCTTTATGCATTTTGGAAATTAACCCCTTGTCAGATATGTGATTTGCAAATGTTTTCTCGCAGTTGGTGGGTTGTCTTTTCATTATATTCATGGTTTCCTTTGCCTTGGAGAAGTTTTTTGGCCTGGTGTAGTCCCACTTGTTTATTTATTTTTTTGTTTCCTTTGCCTGAGGAGACACGATATTCGAAAGGATGCTGCTAAGACTGATGTCAAGGAGTGTACTGCCTATATTCTCTTTCATGAATTTTATGGTTTCATGTTTTACATTCAAGTTCTTAATCAATTTTTAGTTAATTTTTGTATATGGTGAAAGATAATGGTCTACTTTCATTCTTTTGCATGTGGCTGTCCAGTTTTCCAAGCACCATTTATTGAAGAGACTTTTCATTCTCCGTTGTATGTTCTTGGCTCCTTCATTTCATCTCTTATTTTCCAGTTGTTTTATATTTCCATTTCCGTTGTCTTTCAGTGTTTTGAATATATCCTTTCACTCTGTCCTCACCTGTAAGGTTTCTGCTGAGAAATCTGCTGAAAGCCTGTTGGGGTACCTTGTGTGTTGTTTTCTTCTCTCTTGCTGCCCTTCATATTCTTTTTTTGTCATTCACTCTGGACAATTTTCATAACATATGCCTTTGAGAGGATCTTTTTGCATTGATATATTAAGGGTTCTGTTTGCTTCATATGCTCAGTTCCCATTGCTTCATACATCCAGTTCTATTTGTTTTGTATGTCCACTTTTTCCCAAGGTTTGGGATATTCCCAGGTATTATTTCTGTGAATAAGCTTTCTGCTCCTTTCTCCCTCTCTTCTCCTTCTGGGATACCTATTTTCCTTATGTTACTTTTCCTAATTGAATCAGACATTTCTCATAGAATTTTTCCATTTTTTTTTAAAAAAAATCTTAGTTCTCTCTCTTCCTCCATCTGAATCAGTTCTGGTTTTCTATTTTTGAGCTCACTAATTCTGTCTTCCATATGCTCTACTCTATTTTTAATGCTTTCTACTTTATTTTTTGTCTCATGAACTGTGTTCTTCTTCTCCAGAATTTGTTTCATTTTTAAAAATAGTTTCTATCTCTCTGATGAAGTACTCTTTCTGTTCATTAATTTTATTCCTGAGCCCACTGAACTGTCTTTCTGAGTTTTCTTGTAATTCATTGAGTTTCTTCAACAGCTATTTTGAATTGTCTGTCACATAGACTGCAATCTTCTGTGACTTCAAGTTTGATTTCTGGAGAGTTGTCATCCTCTTTCTGTCCTTTTGTGTCACTGTACGTCTTCAAGGTGCTTGATGAGTTGATCCTATACTGGTGCATTTGTCGTAGTAACTACCTTTCCTATTTGGGTATGGCTTTGGTTACTGTGGTTCTGAGATGGTTCTAGTTGTATTTGAGCCTGCACATTCCACCCTTCACTGCCTCTTCTAGGGGCATTGTCTTTCCCTTCCTTGTGCTGCTTGTGCCTCTGAGGTGGCTGGCGCAGTGCTGCTTGTGATGTTGCTGTGGTCTCAGGTGTTCCCACCGGGATCACCAGGCTGCAAGCACTTCTGCTGCTTCCAGGGTCACCTGGGCCTCATGTTCCCCCACGGGCTCTCCAGGGGCTTGGATGCTGCTGCCCTGTGCACCTCCTGTGCTGCTGCTCTGGATGGCTTAGGTGTGCTGGGTTCACCAGTGTCACTGTCACTGCTGGTGGCCTGTGGGCCTGGGCCTTTTCTGCAGCCCCAGCTCCTGGTGGAGCCAGTTTCAGGGGTGCCACTGCTGGGGCTGGGTGACTGGTTCTGCTGTGGTTCCTGCAGCCTATGGTCACAGGTTCCACTTGCCACTGCCGCGGGGTGGATGGGAGGAGCAGGAGCTAAGCAGAGAAAGTTTGTTGTTGCTGATCACTTGTGCACCCTTTGGTCTCTGGCATGTGCTGGTGTGTTTTGAAAACTCAGGTCAGGGCAACCTGCCCTGGGCAGGAAAATCTGAGATTCATATACTGTCCCCACCATTGGAAGGGCTGGGCCACAGCTGGGGGAGGGACAGGGGGCTGGGTCACTGCTTCCCCACCGTGTCCTCAATTCTCAGGGCCTGTGCATGACTTGCTAGTTCTGGGGGTGAGGGAGCAGCTGGGGTAACTCATGCCTGTTGTCTCTGCTCCTGCAGTGTCTGCTCATAGCCACATGTACTGGATCCACTGGGAAGGGGCAATGAAAACCCGGTGCCTGCTGTTTCTGCCCCACAGCGTGTGCTCATCAGCACACACAGGTGTGAGGACCCCTGCCCTGGATTGCTGCTGTGAGGGGAGGGAGAAGGGGCTGCTCCCCTAGTTCCTCTGCCTCCTTGGGGTCCAGTCCACCCACCTTCAGATGTATCGATCGTGGATCTCTCAGGCATCCTGTAACGCTGTGTACGGAGTCTCTGTCCATCAACAGATTTCCAATGGGTTGTAACTTAGAGGGGAGACAAAGGGAATAACTCACCCCACCACGATGCCGACGTCACTCAGAAGTTTCTTTCTGAGGAGCTGAAAATTTCCTAAAGTTACACTGTGGTGATGGTTGCACAACTCTGAATATACTAACGATCACGGAATGCACAGTTTAAATCCGTGAATGTTACGGGTGTGAAATATGTCTCAATAAAGCCAGAAAAATTTTTTCAGACTCAGTGGATGGGTTTTGCAGCAGGTGAAAGATAAATAAATTGAAACTGCAGGAAAAACCCTCTGAAACCATGTTACGTTCACAGGACCCATGAAAACTTGAGTCCTGTGAACGTAAAGAAATTACAGGCCCCTGCCTCAACACTGTTTCAGTAACATCCACTCATTGTTCATATCTCAACTAACCTGTAATTTCCTGGGGGAATCTTCACTAACCATCCTAATCTCTCAGGCCCAGAACTAAGCGGGACAACTATGATACATTCTCATCGCCCCCCATTTTGTTTCTTGTCACAGTGTGTCTGACTGCGTGCCTCCTACTGATGTGAGATTTCAGGGGCTTAAAACGGTGTTTGCTTTGTTCACCGGTGTATCTTCAGAGCCAAGCAGAGCACCTATCACAGATGAGATACTCAGTATTTGTGGAAGGATGAATGGATGTCTTTACATTGTTCTTCTATATCCCTAAGGACCCATGTATTTTTTATTCTCTGTCTTGCTCAGCTGCTGGCTCCGCTCGGAAAGTGGATTTAGATGGGGCTTCCTTGGACCAGTCTGTGCCATCTTCTCTGTGAGTGATGACTTCAGAGCATCCTTAATGCTCAGCTGAGGGTCATTAGAGGAGCAGAATTATAAGGGGGTGAATGAGCCAGAATGTCCCTGGCTTGTCATGGTTTCGGTTTGGTTTTCTAAGACTGCCCCCAAAACTACAGACTCTAACACTGTTACTAAATGTGCAAACCACTCAAGTGTGGAATTGATGTTGGACAGGCTAGGATACAGACAGATTGGAATTTTAATCAATAATCCTTCTGTGGTTTCCTGAAGGTCAACGTTGTTTTCTTTCTGATGACTCTCTGGATGTTGAAAAGCAGACTCTCTTCCCTCAACAGTGATGTGTCCACCCTGCAGGACACAAGGTAAGCCGGAGGAGAGGGTGACAACCCACAGCCACGTGTGGTCCCAAGAGTGAAGCCATGTCCCTTAGCAGCCCCTGCTGCCCCTTATCAGGGTCTTCTGAGAACCCAGAGTAATCAGACCCAGCTATGCTTCTGTGGCAGCCAGCTCAGACTCAGGGGTGTGTGGCTGACACCCCAGCCAAAATGTTCCGTCCATCTCTAACCCCAGATTGTTGCTCCCTCAGCAGCAGGAAGAATGGACATGGGTTGATAAACATTCCTTGGACTTTTGTCAGCAGTACCATGACAAAAATACAAAGATTTATGTTCCCATGAAGCACTTAGAAAACTCTGTGTCTGCTCCCACACCAGCCTACACTTTCATACAACACCATTAGTTCAGGCTCCTTCTCACCCCTCATCCATTCCTCTCTCTGGAAAAATCCTAGTCAACATCAAATCTAGGAGGTTGGGCATTCCGTTGCTCCAGGAACCCTTGTGGAAATTTAACGCTCTTTCTTCCATATTCCTATCATCATCCTTTCCGAATGAAAATAGAATCTTGCCTTTGTTATTTTTAATGCCCAGGCCCCAGCACAGAGCCCGACGCACAGTACCTCCTCAGTAGTGTTGGCTGAGTGAAAATAGGGATCCCCGTGGAGCATCATAAAATTTTTGAAGCTTACATTTGAAGTATCACTATCCTCCTCAATCTAAATCAAACTGCCCCCCTGTACCTGAGTGCCATTTCTATTGTGGGGAATCATTGATGGCAAAGGTCAAAGATGATCACAGCGCAGCCTGAGAACTCATCACCAGCAGAGGAAGGCAGGAGCATCCATAGGGTGGAGACGTGAATGGCGTTTTCTTTTGTTGCTCTGGGTGCCTCAGGAGCCTCCTTTCTCCTCCTCCACAGGATGCTGACTTTTAAAGCTATAGCTCAGCTCTTCATCTTGGGATGCACATGGTGTCTGGGAATCCTGCAGGTGGGTTCAGCTGCCCGTGTCATGGCCTACCTCTTCACCATCATCAACAGCCTGCAGGGCGTCTCCATCTTCCTGGTGTACTGCCTCCTCAGCCAGCAGGTACCACTATCCAGCTGCCGCCCAGGACTCTTCCCATCCTCACCCCTCTCAGTGAGCTGATCCAGAGTATGCTTTTCCTCTGCAGGTTCGGGAACAATACGGGAAATGGTTCAAAAGGGTCAGGAAACCCAAAGCTGAGTCTGAGACTTTCACGCTTTCAAGCAGGGCCGTGTCTGATGACTCCAAACCCATCACGGTATGATCATGCGTTGCTCCCAGAATACTTCACCAACTGATCTGCTTGAGCAGCATGTGCCTATCACACTGGACAACCTGGGTGAACAGCAGGTCATGCCCCAGGATGGCTCACAGTTGCTTTACTCCTGGACTTGTTAACAACTAGCAATGGTCTCAGTTTAAAAGTCTATTTTAAAAAACATTTTGCTGTTACTCCTTTGGGAACTGTGTTCATCTTGACCTTTACACATCAGTGCTCTTACTGAAGACCTGCTATGTGCCATTCATGGTTAACTAGATAAGCAAGAATCAATGATCTGAAGTGATGATGCACGTTATGCTCAGAGCCACATTATTCTATCCTTCCTCTCTGCGCCCCTTCTATGTCACAGTAACTCAGCTGCACTCACAAAAAGGGACAAATGGAAGGAAATGATGCATGTATTTATGAATTAAACAGAAATGTGTTACCTGGCATTTTAGATTTTCTTAAAGACTTACTCATATTTTCAGCAACTTCTACCCTCTTCCAAACCAAAGGGAAAAGCAGGAATGGCATGGGATAATTCACGGCAGTGATTACAAAGAACCGACAGTTAATGATTTAAACTTACAAAGTCCTTTTACCTATGTTTTCTCAATTCTTCCATATTCTATGAAATCCCTTGAGTCGTCCTTACCGTTTAAAGGAGTCTAGGATTCTACCAAGAAGTCCTTGTGCATTTCTCTTGTTATCTTGTTCACCCAGCACTGGTTCCACCACTGAATCTTCTGTCTCCACTCCCTTTCTCAGAAAATGTTCTCATCACCTATTTCACAGAGAAAATCAATGTCATCATGATGATGCTTTGTGTGTTTCATGCCATCCGCCATACCCACCAAACGTCAGCGTGCATCCCCTACACATTCCTGTGCCATTGACACATTTCCTTTCTCCTCTCTGAAGACAATGCTTCCACCTGCAGTTTGGATCCCATCATTCCTGCCTTATCAATTATCCTTACATTATTGTTCACACATTCTCTCACTCTCTCTTTTCCTTCCTCCTTCCCTCCCTCATTTCTTCCCTCATCTTCTTAACAGTGTTCTTCCCAAAGTTACAGAAACATGTTTAATTCCTTTCCATTTTGCAAATGTGTGCTACTTGGCCCCCTTCTAACTACTAGTCAAGAGTTGACTTTTCTCTCTGTCTCCATTTCCTTGCCTTAAACTCACTCCCTGAACCCATGCCAATATGGCTTCTTTCTCCCATGATTCCACCAAGACATATATCTCTTAGACCTCAGTGATTTCCGTGTCCTGAAAAGCCCTCTCAGAAACTTCTGACACTATTCATCACTACTTTCTCATGAAACTCTCCATCTTTATCCCCTGTAGGTTCTATTTACACACCCCTCCATGTCTTTCTCCCATTCCATCCAGCTTTCCTCTCTGCCTCCTTCATAGCTCCATCCAATGGGTTGGTTCCAGAAGAACTTCAGTTCTCATTAACTTCTTTCCTCCTAGGCAGTCACATCAATTTCTTAGATTCAGTCACCTCTAGATGCAAATGATGGCTGTGTATGTTTCTCTAGGTCTGACCTTTCCTCTGAGATCTAGAGGAATATCTCCACTCATTTGACATTTTTGATATCTCAAAGACACCTTCAAGTCAGCCTTCCTATATAAGACTTTCAATCTTTATTCTAATCGAATCCTTTCCCATGGTGTCTTTCTTTCTGAATGGCACTGCATCCATCCTCTGCCATGTCTTTGAGCCCTGAAAGTTACTCTCGACAATGATCTCACTGCCTATCACAACGTATCCATTATACAGTGCTGTTCACTTTTCTTTTTTAGCTTTGCTTTTTTCTTTTGTTAAATATGATTGGCCCTGAGCTAACATCTGTTACCATTCTTCCTCTTTTTTTTTCTCCCCAAAGCCCCAGTACATAGTTGTATATCCTAGTCATAAGTCTCTCTAGTTCCCTATGTAGGATGTCGCCACAGCATGGCTTGATGAGCAGTATGAAGGTCTGCCCTCAGGATCTGAACTGGTGAATCCCAGGATCCTGAACTTAACCACTATGCCTCTGGGCCAGCCCCAATCCTGTTGTTCTCATCTTCTCAATATGTCCCCAACATGTCCAGCTGGCTCAATCTCCATCACCCTCTTCTTGGCCGGGCTACCATCTTTACTTGCCTGAACAACTGCACTAGCCTCCCAACTGACCACCCTTTTCTCCTCTTGTCACCATCCAATGCGTCCTTTACACAGAAACCTGACGGATCTTTTCAAAACACAAATAGAATGATGTCACTCCTTTGTTAAACCCATTACATGTAGGAACAATCCCAAAATCCATAAGTCAATGAGAATTTGCTTGGGTTGTCTCCTGCTTACCTCTCCAGCTTCATCTGCCGTGTATTCACCAGTGTTTCAGCCACATCGGATTTCTTTCAATTTTTTATATTCACTGTGCCTCTTTGGAACAAAGGCTTTATGCATATTCCCTCTTTGTTTTTTTGAGGAGGACTAGCCCGGACCTAACATCTGCTGCCAATCCTCCACTTTTTTGCTGAGGAAGACTGGCCCTGAGCTAACATCCGTGCCCATCTTCCTCCACTTTATACGTAGGATGCCTACCACGGCACGGCTTGCCAAGTGGTGCCATGTCCGCACCCAGGATCGGAAGTGGTGAACCATGGGCCGCTGAAGCGGAATGTGCGCACTTAATCGCTGTGCCACCGCGCCAGCCCCCATTCCCTCTTCTTGAAACACTCTTTTGTCTTCCTTGACTCAAAACTATATAAGCCTTCAGATCTCAGCTCATGTGTCAACTCCCCCAAGAAGCCTTCTCTACCTGCTCAGAATAGGGCAGATTCTCTGGTTTTTCACTCTGATAGCCACTGTGCCTTTCCCGTAGAGCATCTGTCAGAGTCATTTCACTCTTGTTTTTCACTATCTGGTTAATGTCTGTCTTCTCTCTAGATCTGGGCTGCAGCAGGCACCATGCTGCTTTTCCTTCCTGTTGCATCCTCAGAGTTTCACACAGGGCCAGGCCTATAGAAATGCTCAATGCATAATTGCTGCATGACTGATCACATTAACGAATGAACAAACTGCAGCTGCAGAAGAGGCAGGCACTGTCTTGTTTTCAATCTCTCTCCACGTCTAACACACTTCCAAGTGCTCAGTAGTTACTTACTGAACAAATGAACGAATGAATGAATGAACTTCCTGATCATGATGGAGGTAAAATATTAGAATAAATTATTGATCAGTTTAAGGTGCCTCTTTCTCTTGGGAATTTCAAGATAATTCTTTGCCTTAGTTATTGTTTTATTATTAACCATCATGTCTACCTGTTAACACCCTAATATTTCTTTATGATCCAAGAGCTTTGTGTAGATCTTAGTTCCTGGACTAAACAGGTCTGGAATGAAATAGCAGCTCTACCAAGTACTTGCCCTGTGAACTTGGTCAAATTGACAATCATTTTAAATTCTCAATTGCCCCCTTCATCTCCCATGTACAAATGAGACAGTTTTCTGAGTCTCGCCCAATCAGAACTAATTAATTGCTTCCATTTGAGGCTTTCAAGTGAAGTGTGCTTTGGTGGGAGGGGGATGACCATTCCCCCACAGTAAATGTTGCTTCAGCCAAGGATGCACAATGTAACCGAGCAGGAACGAATGCAGCATCCCTCAGTACAGCTGATGTTGAACACATAAGGCAGGGTCCCATGGATCTGAGAGGCTCAATTCTTGCTGTACCACAGGCCTGTCCCACTCGGGGCTTGCACTCACTCAGGAAGAACATAGCAAATAACCCACGCCTTTGTGTTGAGGGGGATGCTAACAGTACCTGCCCCTCGTGTTCTTGAGTCAGCTCAGCCTCAGCAAGGCCGTATCCTCATCCCTGGGAGCTGGTTCCCAGGAGTCCCTCAACCAAATCGGAGCTGCCCTCACTCCAGAATCCCAGAAAACTGATTCTTCCACATCTATACTTTGAATGTACTTATTCTCTATTGCTGTTGGACCAAATTACCACAGACTTACTGCTGAACCCAACACAAATTTATCTCACTGCTCTAGAAGTAGAAAGTCCCAAATCGGTCTTAGGGACCAAAATCAAGGTGTCATCAGAGCTGCGTTCCTCCTGGAGATTCTAGGGGAATGCCCGTTTCCTCACCTTCTCCAGCTTCTAGAGGCTGCCTGCATTTCTTGGCTAGGGGCCCCTTGATCCACTCCATCATCACAGCCTGCAGTGTAGCATCTTCAGTCTCTCTGTCTCTCCCTCTCTGCTTCTGTCACTCGGTCCCCTTCCCCCATTTGACTTTGCTGCCTTCTCCTTCCCCTTATAAAAACCCTAGGCATTACATTGGCTTGCCTGGATAACCTTCCCATCTCAAGATTCTTAGTTTAATTATTTCAGCAAAATCTGTTTTTTCATGTAAAGTAACATACTTACAAATCCAGAGATGAGGATGTGGGCATCTTTGGGGGATCACTATCCTCTCTATCGTACTTATTGTACATAGGTTTACCTTGCCTATTGTAGAGCCATCAAAATTTCCCTCGTAGTATAGATATTAGAACAAATATTTACCATCCTCTTACCCCACCAATTTCTCTCCTGCCCAGAGCTGATATACACAGTGAATCAAAGAAACATACACTTTCTGTGAGAGAAATGCAGCAATGGCATCAGATAGCTAATGAAGCCTTCCAAAATTTGAGTAATATCATCACGTATATGTACTATCTATGGGCAAAAGACCAAGAAATTTCATTGCTTAATGTAATTTTACCTTCTGCGATCTCCTAAAATTGGTGTCTCCATTGTATAAAGATGGAAAGGTGTCTACCTCTCCTTTGTCATCTCTTCCATGGCTTCCTGCAGTTTCATTCAAGGGAAACAAAATATTTTCTCTTGTGCATAGGTCTGAGTAATTTCCTGGAGTGCAGTACTGGCAAAGTTTTTGAGTAAAGATAAGCAGGTGAAGTTTCCCAACTAATTTTCAGAAATTACGCTGAGGTTCCTGTGCATCCAGGATTAAATAACTCACATTGTGGATGGAAAGAATAAGGGACTGAAAATAATTTAATACATTTTCCTTTCTGTCTTAGGTGAATAACGATAGGTAATCTTTCGCACATTTCATGCGTTTCTCAGCTTCTGTCTTATATGACTGCATGCACAAAGTAATATTTCACAAATCCTGAATCAGAGGGATCAGGAAACACACAGATTATATTTTGGAGCAGATTTAATTGCTGTTATCTTCTGTAACTTGGGGGTTAGGAAATGTGGGGAGATGGGACTTCTGAGAAAGACCAGGGTCTAGCAGAATGCAGTCTGATACGGCCTTTTGATCTTCCCCTGAGAAATGCATCTGGAAAGGAAATTCTGTGATTAAAGACATCTTAAATTAGTTATTTTTTTCCAAAGCAAACTTTTGTCATCTTTCTATAGTCTTATATATCATCTCTAA